CATGACCAATTGATTGGGACTCTTCTGGAAGATAATCATCAACTGCTGAACCAGGTGACTCAGTTAACTACACAAGTCTCTAAATTGTCTGTTATCAGTTCTCCATCTCTCTCTGACCCCCAGTTTGATGCACCCCAAGTTGGTTCCTCGGACATGATGCAGGCTTCGTTCCATCGGGAACCCCCTGTCACGTCGCCTGAACCGTTCAATGGTGAATTGGACAAGTGCCGGGGATTTTTGCTTCAGTGTGACTTGATTTTTCGGCAGAGACCACTGTCATTTTCTACTGATTCCTCTAAGGTACATTATGTTCTGGGGCTGTTAAGAGGGAGAGCTCTGGTTTGGGCTGAGGCTGTGTGCTCTAATCAAAATTTGACTGGATTGACTTTCGCTGATTTTTCTGCTAAATTGAAGACTGTTTTTGACCATCCTGACCATGTGGGTAATTCCTCCAAGATACTTTTTAATTTGAGGCAGGGTTCTAACAGTGTGGCAGAGTACTCTATTGAGTTCTGGACGTTGGCAGCGGACTCCAAGTGGAACAATGTGGCACTTCAGGGAGCATTTCTAAACGGTTTGAATGAAGCCATTAAGGATGAACTAGCTGCTCGTGATGAGCCACATGATTTACATTCTCTCGTTTCCCTGTCCATCAAGCTGGACAATCGGTTGCGGGAGAGACGTCGGGAGAGAGGCGATCGGCCACATCTAGGAGGACGAGTTCCCCAGCCTTCAACCACTCGAGTCTCGCCTCTCCGGAGTCGGCAGCTTCTTGTTCCTGATTCCATTCCGAGCACAGAGGAGGAACCTATGCAAGTGGGTCGAGCTCGACTACCTCCAGCAGAGCGGCAACGGCGCCTCCAGGCGGGTGAGTGCCTGTACTGTGGAGACGCCACACACATTCTGGCTACATGCCCTAAAGCGGCCAAAAGACAAGGCTCGCTCGTAACGGTGGGTCTACTTGCGAGTCCAGAGTTAGATCCTGAACCCATCATTCCCCGATTACAAGTACCTGTAACCTTACGATTCCAGAGTCATTCCTTGCCACTCTCAGCTCTCATTGACTCAGGTGCAGAAGACAACTTTATTAGCCACCAGTTCGTTACACAAGCTCGTATCCCCATGGAGCCACTACCTACCCCCATTCGGGTCACAGCCCTTGATGGGCGCCTCCTCGCGGAGATAACTCATCAAACCACCCCCGTTTCCCTAGTGATTTCTGGCAATCATTGTGAAAGCATTCAGCTAAGAGTTATGTCTGACTCAGCTACCTCCCTAATCCTTGGCTTCCCCTGGTTGGCTCTTCACAACCCACAAATTGATTGGACACGTCACACCATTCTCAGTTGGAGCACTAACTGCCATTCAGAGTGCCTTAGGTCAGCGGTTCCCCCCACTAAGTGTAACCCAACTCCTCCCTCAGCTCCTCTTGATCTGTCATCTGTCCCCAAAGAATACCATGACTTAGCGGAGGTTTTCAGTAAGGACAAGGCTCTGTCTCTACCACCACATAGGCCTTATGATTGCCCTATTGAACTGCTTCCTGGTGCTCCCTTGCCCTCTAGTCGGTTATACAATCTGTCCCGACCGGAAAGAGAGGCAATGGAGCAGTACATTGGTGATTCTCTGGCCTCGGGCATAGTCCGTCCCTCGTCGTCTCCTTTGGGTGCAGGTTTCTTTTTCGTGGAAAAGAAGGACAAGTCGTTACGCCCCTGTATCGATTTCAGGGGTTTAAACAACATAACTGTTAAAAACAAGTATCCCCTTCCACTCATCAACTCAGCTTTTGAACCTCTGCATGGCGCCACAGTGTTTTCCAAGCTCGACCTCAGGAATGCTTATCACCTTGTCCGTATCCGAAAGGGAGATGAGTGGAAAAACCGCTTTCAACACTCCACTGGGACATTTTGAGTATTTGGTCATGCCCTTTGGGCTTTCAAATGCCCCTGCGGTTTTCCAAGCCATGGTGAACGATGTTCTTAGGGATTTTTTGAACCGTTTTGTCTTTGTATACCTGGATGATATTCTTGTTTTTTCCAAGTCACCTGAGGAGCATGAGTCACACGTCCGTCAAGTCCTTCAACGGCTCTTGGAGAACAAGCTGTACGTCAAAGCAGAGAAGTGTGAGTTCCACAAACAGTCTACATCGTTCCTTGGATTTATAATTGAGAGCGGGCAGGTGAAGGCGGACCCCGAGAAGATCCGGGCAGTGACGGAATGGCCCACACCCACCACCCGTAAGCAACTTCAACGATTTTTGGGCTTTGCTAACTTCTACCGTAGATTCATTAAGGGTTTTAGTAAAGTGGTGGCACCCCTTACAAGACTCACATCTCCTAAAGTCCCTTTTCGGTGGTCCCCTGAGGCGGAGCAGGCGGTAGGGGTTTTGAAGGAACTGTTTTCCACCTCCCCCGTGTTGATACACCCCAATACCTCTCTGCAGTTTGTTGTGGAGGTGGACGCGTCGGACTCAGGTGTGGGAGCAGTCCTCTCCCAGCGCTCCCCCACTGACCAAAAGCTTCACCCCTGTGCTTTTTTCTCCAAGAAATTGTCACCCACAGAACGGAATTACGACGTTGGAAACCGGGAACTGCTGGCGGTCAAGCTTGCACTGGAGGAATGGCGGCACTGGCTGGATGGAGCTGAACTGCCGTTTGTGGTCTGGACTGACCACAAGAACTTGGCTTACATCCAAGCCACTAAGAGACTCAACTCACGCCAAGCCAGATGGGCCCTGTTTTTTAGTAGGTTTAACTTTATTCTTACATACAGACCGGGGTCAAGAAATGTTAAACCAGATGCTTTGTCCCGCCAGTTTGCTGACCCTTCGGAGACCAGCGAGCCTGAGGCAGTCCTGCCTTCCTCATGCGTCGTGGCGGCTGTTCAGTGGGAGATCGAATCTCTTGTGAAGACTGCACTTGCCACGGACCCGGGACCGGGTGATGGACCTCCCAACCTACTCTTTGTTCCCGAGACGGTCCGGGCTCAGGTGTTGCAGTGGATTCACACCTCCCGTTTTGCTGGTCACCCTGGGATGAGACGCACGTTGACGCTGCTTAAGAGACATTTTTGGTGGCCTTCAATGGAAACTGACGTTCAGGCTTTTGTGGCAGCCTGTTCAACCTGTGCTCGGGGCAAAGCCTCCCATCAGTCCCCTTCGGGGCTGCTGCTACCCCTCCCAGTTCCCAGCCGTCCCTGGTCCCACATTGCCATGGATTTTGTCACCGGCCTACCCAAGTCTGAAGGTAATGATACTATACTTACCATTGTGGACAGATTCTCTAAATCTGTCCACTATATAGCATTACCAAAATTACCGTCTGCCAGTGAGACAGCGGACCTCCTAGTCCAACATGTATTCCGTCCCCATGGAATACCTGTGGACATCGTATCTGATAGAGGCCCACAGTTTACTTCCCGTGTTTGGAAGGTTTTCTGTTCTGCTCTGGGTGCTTCCGTTAGTCTGTCCTCAGGGTTTCATCCCCAGACCAACGGTCAAACAGAAAGAGCCAATCAAAACCTCGAAGCAACCCTTCGTTGTGTGGCTGCTCAACATCCCTCATCCTGGGCCAAACATCTGCCCTGGATAGAGTACGCCCACAACTCCCTCACCGCCTCTGCCACCGGTCTTTCACCCTTCGAGGTTACCATGGGTTATCAACCCCCTCTGTTTCCTGCTCAGGAGAAGGAATTGGCTGTTCCTTCGGTTCAGGAGAACCTCCGCCGCTGCCAGAGAGTGTGGCGCGACGCTCGGGAAGCATTGCTTCGGACCACCGACAGGAACAAGACAACAGCGGATAGGAGCAGGACTCCCGCACCTGTGTTTCATCCTGGTCAAGAGGTTTGGTTGTCATCTAAGAACGTACCTCTTCGTACCAAATCACGCAAGCTGTCTCCTCGGTACCTGGGTCCGTTTGTGGTGGAGTCCATCATTAACCCTGCTGCGGTTCGTTTGAAGTTGCCTTCAGCCATGAAGATACACCCTACCTTCCACGTCTCCCAACTGAAACCTGTGTCCTCCAGCCTTTTGTGTCCGCCGGCTGATCCACCTCCACCTGTTCTCCTCATTGACGACCATCCGGCCTACACCGTCAGTAGGCTCCTGGACTCTCGGAGGCGGGGTAGGGGTCTCCAATACTTAGTCGATTGGGAAGGTTATGGACCAGAGGAGAGGTCTTGGGTCCCTAAGCGTTTTGTGTTGGATCCTCAGCTGATCACGGACTTCCATCACGACAACCCTGACAGGCCTGGTGGGTCGCCAGGTGGCGACCATTGAGGGGGGGGTACTGTTATGTGGGCAGCTTGTCTCTCCCTGTTCTGTTTCCCTTCCTCCTTGTTTTGTCCCCTCTTTTTCTGTTGTATGTGTGTTTGTCCCCTTTATGTGGGTGTGTCTGGAGTGGAGCAGGGGGCGGGCTCAGGATCTGCCTCTCCTGTGCAGCTGCGGGTTGTTTCCAGTGATTCCTGCCTACGCAGCTGCATCCTATTCTCTCATCAACCTACACTACTTATTCCTGGGCATGGCTCTCCACCGGCGCCAGATCGTTGTTCTTACCATAGCGGTAACTTGGCTCACCAGTAATGTTATTTTGTCTTAGTCTTCAGCCTGGCTCTCCCCTCTCCTTAACCAGTTGTTTGTTTTGTCTTCAGTTCGGACACACCTCCCAACCTGCCTGCCTTCCTGCCTGTCGGTCTGCCTGCCTGCCTGCCTGCCTGCCTGCCTCAGCCACTCCTTCCTCCGGATTCGACTAGCCCACTCTGTTCCTTTACTTCAGTTGTTTTTGGACTATGACAATTTTAACTTTTATTAAATATTTTTGTTTCTTCCACTCCCTTTGTCGTGTTTGTTTCTCTGAGTGCTGGGTTGAACCATAGCCTTAACAACATAGGGAATAAGGTGCTATTTAGTTCCTGATGTGGACAAATGTGATCGCTATCATGGGTTTGTCATTAAATAACCTCTACGGTCCTGTCCCCAACGATGGAGGAAGTTCAGTTCCAGTTGGTACTTCCTCTCTACTGAGAGGAAATCCTGGACTGAGAGCAGGCAGGACTGTCTGGGGAGAGGCGCACACCTGGTGATCATTAACAGCAGAGCTGAACAGGTGAGAGGGAGGAGAGAGTTATATTTTTGATAATTTCAACATTTTGTTACTATTTCAACTCCTGTTTGTTTTTCACTTTATCATGCCACTATCTTTAACCGATGTTTGCCCTCCCCCACAAAAGCATGTTTGTAAAATGATGGGATCTTTTCTTTGTGCCAAAACAATAGGAATTTATCCATGAATGGAGTGGATGCCTGGACATCTACCTTGGTTTCCATGACACCAATACAGAGGGGGTTTGGGAGTGGATTAACGATGGCCAATTAGGCCAATTATCAGCTCCTGGCACTACGTGAGTGGACCTGTTCTGGATTATATTTTACCATCTAATTTGTAACAAATTCATTTTTACCGTCTGATTATCTGTGTTATTACTGGATGACTTTTTACTGTCTGTTTCTATGTGCTTCATTCTATAGTTAGGACTCCTGAATTGGAGGGGGAGTTGTTTCACCTCTTTTCTGAGTGTATATAACCAGCTTCTCAGGCTCCATCTCAGTGTGATTCATTTTACAGTTTGAGGACTCGTCTCAAAACTAAGACCGTCGCTGAAACAAAGACGCTTCTGCCGAGTTGTTCTGCAGAGTTATTGAAGGAAGGCGCCACACAACTCTCTCACTTGAGTGTCTTACGTAGTCATTTTCTGATTATCTCATTTTGCTATTTTGTAGCTATGGCAACTATGTGTGTGTTTTCTATACCTGTTCACCCATCTCCCTGTAGGCTTTACAGACGCTCCCCACCCCTAGACTACAACCCTTCTAATTTAGTGTTACCTGTGCGCACAACCCATGTGGAAATCCTCTTCTCTGGCAGTGTTTGGAAATGCCGATCTGCAGTCAAGAACACAGAGTTCATCTCAGCCTATGCTGCCCTTCAGTCCCTTGACTTTTTGGCCCTGATGGAGACATGGATCACCCCAGAGAACACTGCTACTCTAGCTACTCTCTCTTCATCTAACTGCGTTTTCTCTCATAGTCCGAGAGCATCTGGTCGTGGCGGTTGTGGCACAGGGCTACTCATTTCTCCTGAGTGGAGAATTTCTCTTTTCTCCCTCTCTCACCTGTCCATCTCCTCATTTGAATTCCATGTTGTCACTGTCAATTCTCCACTCGAGCTTAACATTGTTGTTATCCATCGTCCATCATGTGCCCTTAGAGAGTTCCTCAATGAGCTTGACACCTTAAAGCTAATTTCCTGACAATGGCTCAGCGCTCTTTATACTTGACAACGTACACCTCCTGACGTCTGCCTTCGATTCATTTCTTTCCATCGCTCTATTTTCCCTCCTTGCCTCTTTTGACCTACCCTTCCCCAGTCCCCTCCCACTCACACGCTTGACCTCATCTTTACTAGAGGCTGTTCACCTACTATCTCACAGCAACACCCCTCCAGGTCTCTGATCACTACTTTGTTTCCTTTTCTGTCTCCCTTTCCTCCAACCCTAACCAGTCAGCCCCTATCCAGATGGTCATGTGCCGTCGCAATCTTTGCTATCTCCCACTGCTCTCCCCTATTCTATCCTATCATCTCTCCCTTCTGCTATATCCTTCTCCCTCCTGTCTCCCGATTCTTCCTTTTCAACCCTACTTTCCTCCCTTTCCGCATTCTATGACTCGCACTGTCCCCTTTCCTCCCAGGCCGGCTTGGCCCTCCCCTCCTGCCCCATGGCTGAGTGACTCATTGCGAGCTTACAGAATAGGGCCTTGGGCAGCTGAGCGAAAAATTAGGAAAACGTAACTTCCGGAGGAGCTATTATCCTTTCACTCCCTCCTCTCTGCCTTCTCCTCCTCTGTATCTGCTGCTAAAGCCACTTTCTACCACTCTAAATGTCACACTTCTGCCTCTAACCCTAGGAAACTCTTTTCCACCTTCTCTTCCCTCCTTAAACCCCCCCCACCCCCCCAATCAATTAAACCGAGACTGCTCTTCTCTGTGTCACGGAGGTTCTCCGCACTGCCAAAGCTGATTCTCTCTCCTCTGTTTTCTCATCCTCCTAGATTTATCCGCTGCCTTCGACGCCGTGACCCATCAGAAATTCTTCTCACTTCCCTCATCAACTCATCTCTGACCACTGGCTGCATCCCCTCTGACTTCAGAATGGCCCGATTCGCTCCCCTCCTCAAAAGACCAACACTCGACTCCTCTGAAATCAAAAATGGTTGCACATATGACCCGGGTTCTCTTTACACCAAGTCCCTAGGCTCAGTCATATCCTCACATGGTCTCTCCTATCATTGCTTTGCAGATGACACTCAACTACTTTTCTCCTTCCCTCCTTCTGACACCAAAGTGGCGACATGCATCTCTGCGTGCCTGGCAGATATCTCAACTTGGATGTTGGCCCACCACCTCAAGCTGAACCTCGACATGACGGAGCTGCACTTTCTCCTGGGGAAGGCCTGTCTGCTCCAAGACCTCTCCATCACAGTTGACAACTCCACAGTGTCCCCCTCCAAGACTACAAAGAACCTTGGTGTGACCCTGGACAACACCCTGTTGTTCTATGCAAACATTAAAGCAGTGACTTGCTCCTGCAGGTTAATGATCTACAAAATGTGTAGACTATGACCCTACCGCACACAGGAAGCGGCACAGGTCCTAATCCAGGTACTTGTCATCTCCCGTCTGGACTACTGCAACTCACTTTTGGCTCCCCACTTGTTCCATCAAACCCCTGCATCTTATCCAGAACTCTGCAGCCCGCCTGGTGTTCAACTTTCCCAAGTTCTCCCATGTCACCCTGCTCCTCTGCACACTCCACTGGCTTTCTGTCGAAGCTCACATCCACTACAAGACCATGGTACTTGCCTACGGAGCAGCAAGAGGAACTGCCCCTCCCTACCTTCAAGCTATGCTCGAACCCTACACCCCAACCCGAGCACTCACTTCTGCCACCTCTGGTCTCTTGGCCCTCCCACCCCTATGGGTGCCCAGTCCAAGCTCTTCCCCCTGAAGCTAAGACAGCAGACTCCCTGCCAATCTTCCGAAAACATCTGAAAGCGGAGGTTTGATTAGCTCGGTGGAGTTCTTTGTATTTTGTATCGCCTGGTTATTTTCACCCGTGTGCTTCGTTGTTTTCCAGTGCGCCTGTTTTCTGCACTGGAGTGTTTGACACATTGCTGCGTACTACTGTGTTTTGGAATAAACCTTTTATTCTGTGATTTGCCCTCCTTCGCCTGACTCCTTCAAATCACTCACCACAGAATCACACACCTGAACATGGAGTCAGCAGGAGAAGCGAACATGCTGGGAGTCGTGGCACGGGTCCCGGAGCATTCTGATATGCTAGCTAGCTTGGGAGAAGCGATGGATCGAGTTCTCCAGGTCGTCCAACGCCTGGAGAGGAGAGGACCCGATCCTTCGAGACCAGCTGAGCGACCGTATCCAGCCACCCACACCCTAGCTCCCAGAGGGATTCACCTATCCCGACCTAGGGAGTATGACGGGACAGCTTCCCGCTGCCAGGGATTCCTCCTGCAGCTGGACCTCTTACTTCACAACCATCAGCCCGGCCCCATCAGAGCGGGAGAAGGTGTCCGCCCTCGTCTCCTGTCTCTCGGGGAAAGCCCTGGAGTGGGCCAACGCGGTTTGGAGTGAAGGAGGAGCCACGTTGGACAACTGCGGGGAGTTCGCTCGCCTCTTCCGGGCAATCTTCGACCACCCGCCCGAAGGGAGAGAGGCGGGCGAGCGGCTGGTCCAACTGAGGCAGGGGACGAGGACCACGCAGGACTTCGCCCTGGAGTTTCATACTCTAGCGGCTGGGTCCGGGTGGAACGAGCGGGCCCTCATCTACCATTTCCAGTGCAGCCTGCGAGAGGATGTCTGAAGGGAGCTAGCCTGCCGGGATACCATGTTGACTTTTGACCAGCTGGTGGACATGGCTATCCGGCTGGACAACCTGCTAGCTACAAGAGGATGTCCTGGAGGGGGCCTGCCCGTTCCACCTCCGATCCAGGAGAATGGAGGACGACAGCTTCAGTGTCACTCTTGTGGCAGGAGAGGACATTCAGCTGCACGCTGTCGTCAGGGTTCTTCCGGGTCAGGAGGTTGCAGGCAGGGCACTCTCGCGTCACCGCAGGCAGCGCAAACCCACCCTCGTTCAGAGCCCTCTGCTGCGCATTGCACCATACACGTCACCTTCCCTGATTACACAGTAGTTTCCCAGTGTAAGGCACTGGTCGATTCAGGCGCAGCTGGAAACTTTATGGACAGGTTTTTTGCTCATGGTCTAGGTATTCAATTGGTACCCCTTCCACTGCCCATCAAAGCACTTGACAGTCAACCATTAGGGTCAGGATTCGTTAGGAAAGTTACTGCACCAGTCACGAGGGTTACGCACAAGACCCATAGACAGCAAGTCAAATGTTTTTATTATTGAGTCTCCCGATTTCCCTGTTCTGTTGGATCTTCCCTGGTTAGCACTACACAACCCCACCTTTTCATGGCCACAGAGGGTTCTCACGGGGTGGTCGCAAGAGTGTCAGGGTAGGTGTCTAGCTGTTTCAATTGGTGCAACCACGGTGGAAAGTCCAGACACTACCTCCACCGTGCGCATTCCATCCGAATACCTTGATTTGGCGTACGCGTTTTCCAAAACGCAGGCGACCAAATGACCAACTCATCGGTCGGGGGATTGTGCGATAAACCTCAGGGTAGACGCTGTGCCTTCCAGGAGTCATGTGTATCCCCTGTCGCAGGCTGAAATGGAGGCGATGGAAACATACTTTGCCGAGTCCTTGCGCCAGGGGTTCATATGTCCCTCCACTACGCCTGCCTCCTCGAGTTTCTTTTTTGTGAAGAAGAAAGACGGAGGTTTGCGCCCGTGCATTGATTACCGAGCACTAAACAAGGGGACAATACGTTATAGTTATCCTCTACCCCTCATTCCATCAGTAATCGAGTCAATGCATGGGGCGTTTTTCTTCACAAAATTAGATATCTGGAGTGCGTACATCCTGGTGAGTGTCCGAGAGGGGGACTAGTGGAAGACAGCATTCAGCCCAACCACGGGGCATTACGAATACCTGGTGAAGCCGTACGGTTTGATGAAAACTCCATCCGTCTTCCAGTCCTTTTGTGAACGAGGTGTTTCGGGACATGCTTGGTCGCGGTGTAGTGTTCAACATCGATGACATTCTGGTGTATTCCGCTACGCGCGCCGAGCATGTGTCCCTGCTTCGCAAAGTACTGGGCTGGCTGTTGGAACATAACCTTTATGCCAAGGCAGAAAGGTGTCTGTTTTCCCAACAGTCCGTCTCCTTCCTCGGATACCGCATTACCACCTCAGATGTGGAGATGGAGGGAGATTGCATTACAGCCGTGCGTAATTGGCCGACTCCAACCACGGTAAAGGAGGTGCAGCGCTTTATTGGCTTTTCCAACTACTATTGGAGGTTTATCCGGGGCTTTGGCAAGGTCGCAGCTCCCATCACATCTCTGTTGAAGGGTGGGCCGTCCCGGCTCCGCTGGTCTGCTGGGATAGGCGCAGTCCTATCTCAACGCTCGGGCATGCTACCCAAGCTCCGCCTCTGTGCCTTCCTCTCCAAGAAGCTCAGCCTGGCGGAGCAGAACTACGATGTTGGTGATCGGGAGCTGTTGGCTGTTGCCAGAGCCCTGAACGTGTGGAGGCACTGGCTCGAGGGGGTGAAACACCCTTTCTTCGTCTGGACGGACCACCGTAACCTGGAGTACATCTGGGCAGCAAGGAGGCTGAACCCTGGCCAGGCCAGGTGGGCCCTATTCTTCACCCGGTTTGTTTTTACACTGTCTTACATCCTGTGTGCGAAGAACTTTAAGGCAGACGCAATGTCACAGCTGTACGACACAGAGGAGAGGCCAATAGACAAAACTCCCATACTCCCGGACATCATGCATTGTGGCGCCAGTAGTATGGGCGATGGACGCGGACATAGAGCGGGCGTTACGCACAGAGCCATCTCCACCTCAGTGTCCAGCTGGGCTGCAGTACGTGCCGTCTCTTGTCCGTGACCGTCTAATCTATTGGGCTCACACGTACACCCCCTCCTCTGGTCACCTAGGTATCGGCCGTACAGTGCGCTGCCTGACCAGAAAATAATGGTCCACCTGTGTATTGACTTTCTCACTGATCTTCCCCTCTCTCAGGGTAACACCACCATCCTGGTCGTTGTGGACAGCTTTTCAAAAGCCTGCCGCCTCCTTCCTCTGCCCAGTCTCCCCACTGCCCTGCAGTCTGCGGAGGCCCTGTTTACTCATGTCTTCCGGCACTATGGGGTGCCAGAGGACATAGTGTCTGACCGGGGTCCCCAGTTCACATCCAGGGTCTGGAAGGCGTTCATGGAACGTCTGGGGGTCTCGGTCAGCCAGACCTCTGGGTTTCACCCTGAGTCTAATGGGCAGGTGGAACGGGTGAATCAGGATGTGGGTAGGTTCCTGCGATGCCAGGACCAGCCGGGGGAGTGGTCGGTGTTCTTTCCATGGGCCGAAGATGCCCAGAACTCTCTCCGCCACTCCTCCACTAACCTATCGCCATTTCAATGTGTTTTAGGTTATCAGCCGGTTCTGGCACAGGTGGCATCAGAGCCAGACCGAAGCTCCTGCGGTGGATGACTGGTTTCGGCATGGTTTCGGAGGAGACTTGGAACGCTGCTCACGTCCACCTCCAGCTCGCCGTGCGTCGCCAGAAGGCCAACGCTGACCGACATCGCAGTGAGGCCCCTGTCTTTGTACCGGATGATCGGGTCTGGCTCTCGACCCGGAATCTGCCCCTCCGCCTGCCCTGACGGAAGCTGAGCCCACTGTTTGTGGGGCCGTTCAAAGTCCTGAGGAGAATAAACGAGGTTACCTATAGTTTACTACTCCCTCTAGATTACCGTATTAACCCCTCGTTTCATATGTCTCTCCTCAGGCCGGTGGTGGTTGGTCCGCTCCAGTACTCCGTCCGTTCCATCCTGGATTTGAGGCGTCGGGTGGGGGGCCTTCAGTACCTCGTGGATTGGTAGTGTTACGATCCGGAGGAGCGTTGCTGGGTCCCGGTGAGGGATATCCTCGATCCCTCCCTGTTGCGGGATTTCCACCGTCGCCATCTGGTTCACCCTGCTCCGCGTCCTCCTGGCCATCCCCGAGGCCGGTGTTGGCGCCCTGCTGGAGCTGTGCATCAAGGGGGGGGGGAGTACTGTCACGACTTCCTCCGAAGCTGCCTCCTCTCCTTGTTTGGGCAGGCTTCGGTGTTCATCGTCACCAGCCTTCTAGCCACTGCCGCTCCTCATCTCATCATTCCATTGGTTTTGTCTTGTTTATTACACACACCTGGTTCATATCCCCTCATCAGTACCTGTATAAGTGTTCCCTCTGCCCCCTTGTCTTTGTGTGTAATTGTTTATTGTGGAGGTTCGATTAGCTCGGTGGAGCTCTTTGTATTTTGTATCGCCGGGTTATTTTCACCCATGTGCTTCGTTTTTTTTCCAGTGCGCCTTTTTTCCGCACTGGAGTGTTTGACGCATTGTTGCGTGCTACTGTGTTTCAGAGTAAACCTTTTATTTGGTGATTTGCCTTCCTGCACCTGACTCCTTCAAATCACTCACCACACTGATAGCTTCTTTATTGAGGAAAAATGTACTTACTATGACAGTGATATGTGGTTGCCCCACCTAGTTATCTTAAGATGAATGCACCAACTGTATGTCACTCTGGATAAGAGCGTCTGCTAAATGACTCAAATGTAAATGTCATATGTATGTGTTGGATGTCATTTTACCTTCTGTTTCCCTGTGTTGTTCCAAGTTACTTTTTACCATCTGATTTTCTGTGTTGTTCCATGTGACTTTTTACTGTCTATATGTGCTGTAGCCAGTTTGATTGCTTTTTTGATTACTTTTTGCCATCTGTTTTGGTGTCTTGTTTATAGGTATTGGGGGGATGGGGAACCAAACAATGCAAATCAGGGTGAAGACTGCGCTCATCTCTCAAAGAAGGAATCAGACCCACTAAAGAGTTGGAACGACGTACCATGCACAACGAATATCCACTGGGTGTGCGAGAAGATGGCGTCCACATTGTAATTATGTGTTTAGAATTTTAAAACATGAGCCATTTTGATGATCTGTTTTAGATTTTTGTGTGAAATTTGGCAAAGTGATTGGGAAAAAACATACGTAACTTGACCCTTATCTTAGCATGGTGGGCTAACACAGTCTGATGTTGCACATATGACCCGGGTTCAAAATCCATTTTTAATTTAGTCACGTTGGGCATCCAAATGAGAATTTTAGGCTGTTTATGTTTTGATTTTGTAATGAAATCCCAACATTACATTGTCAGAAACTGTTATGGAGTAAAGTGGACTGCAGCTCAAGTAATAGAAATCCGGATGTATTAGCAAAGAAACATAAGAGCTTGTTATTTAACAGTACAAAGTCAGTATAGACCATGTATGCTGTACTGGTAATATAATAGGTCAGTATAGACCATGTATGCTGTACTGGTAATATAATAGGTCAGTATATACCATGTATGCTGTACTGGTAATATAATAGGTCAGTATAGACCATGTATGCTGTACTGGTAATATAATAGGTCAGTATAGACCATGTATGCTGTACTGGTAATATAATAGGTCAGTATAGACCATGTATGCTGTACTGGTAATATAATAGGTCAGTATAGACCATGTATGCTGTACTGTTAATATAGTATGTCAGTATAGACCATGTATGCTGTACTGGTAATATAATAGGTCAGTATATACCATGTATGCTGTACTGGTAATATAATAGGTCAGTATAGACCATGTATGCTGTACTGGTAATATAATAGGTCAGTATAGACCATGTATGCTGTACTGGTAATATAATAGGTCAGTATATACCATGTATGCTGTACTGGTAATATAATAGGTCAGTATATACCATGTATGCTGTACTGGTAATATAATAGGTCAGTATAGACCATGTATGCTGTACTGGTAATATAATAGGTCAGTATAGACCATGTATGCTGTACTGGTAATATAATAGGTCAGTATAGACCATGTATGCTGTACTTGTAATATAATAGGTCATTATAGACCATGTATGCTGTACTGGTAATATAATAGGTCAGTATAGACCATGTATGCTGTACTGGTAATATAATAGGTCAGTATAGACCATGTATGCTGTACTGTTAATATAGTATGTCAGTATAGACCATGTATGCTGTACTGGTAATATAATAGGTCAGTATAGACCATGTATGCTGTACTGGTAATATAATAGGTCAGTATAGACCATGTATGCTGTACTGGTAATATAATAGGTCAGTATAGACTATGTATGCTGTACTGGTAATATAATAGGTCAGTATAGACCATGTATGCTGTACTGGTAATATAATAGCTTCTTTCTATCCAGGACCTCTATAACACGTGGTGTCAGAGGTAGGCCCAAAAAATTGCCAAGGACACCACCACCCTAGTCATAGACTGTTCTCTCTGCCACCGCACAGCAACTGGTACCGGAGCGCCAAGTCTAGGTCAAAAAGGTCCAAAAGGCTTATTAACAGCTTCCACCCTCAAGCCATAAGCTCTTGAAGAGTTAATGAAATGGTTACCTGGACTATTTGCATTGCCCCCCCCCCAACCCAACCCCCCATTTTTATGCTGCTGCTGCTGCTGCTGTGTATATTATCCATGCATAGGCAAAAGCCTTGTTACTTTGTCTGGACTTTTGTCGCCACCTGGCGAAATAGATTGGAGCTTGCACTTCAGTGCCTCCTTCCATAGCTCTGGTCCAGGGCGTTAGTGTGCATTCCTCTTCAACTTAATATTCTCTTGGAAGTGAAAATCGCACTAACGACTGGACCAGAGCTAGGCCTATGGCTATCAGCTACTAGAAAAAAAGTCATTCATTGATTAATGTGGAAGAATAAAATGAAAAATTTGGTTTTTACCACATAGGACTGGGAAAAATCCACGTTAATGCACCTCCAACTCGTAATTACTAATGGAAAATCCCTGAGCTTCAACTTCTCCCACATTTTGACCTCTGATGTCACCTACTAAGGAAATGGCCTCTATAACAGCATTTTCGACAGTTACATTTAACAACAAAACATTATTTATAAAAAACAATCTATTAACATGTTTTTGGAACACTATAATTAGTTTACAAGCGTGATGGCTGTACTTTTAGTTTATGGTTGACGCAGCTTGTTGGCCATTGGCTAATCGGTGTTTCGCAATGAGGTCAAAGCATGTGAATGCACCAACTGGTATTTACGACTTCACAACTGGTAATTACTAGGTGTGTTTCGACATGGCCATACTCGTATTCGTAATTAAATCTGTAAATTGACAGTTGATAGTCGGATCGGATGATCCTGCACGTTTATAGACCAAACAATCTGCAGATTAGGAGCCGCGGAGGGGTGTGTGTGTCTGACCTGTGTCTGTGTCCTCAGCTTGCAGTGGCAGACAATTTTGCGATCAGTCAGATGCGCGTTGGTGTTAAAACATTTTTCCCTCGCACGTTTCTTAGATATTATGCATATTGACAGCTTGATAGTAAACGTCCTCACCATGTGATGTATCATAGTAGCAGGATAACATGATTGAATCGTGGCGGAACGACGACATGGATAACATATAGCTGGCGGGTTTCACGCTGAATCGGCAAGATAGAACAATGGCGTCCGGTAAGACAAGGGGTACATTTGTAAACAACAGCTGGGGCACGAAATCTAATATTTATTATTATTTTATTTACGTCATTTAGCAGACGCTCTTATCCAGAGCGACTTACATGAGCAATTAGGGTTAAGTGCCTTGCTTAAGGGCACATCGACAGATCCTTCACCTAGTCGGCTTGGGGATTAGAACCAGCGACCTTTCGGTTACTGGCACAACGCTCTTACCCACTAAGCTACCTGCCGCCCCATATTAAGGAAGTCTCAAGGTTTCGCTCGCCTGCTGTAGAGTATCTCATGATAAGCTGTAGACCACACTATTTATTATCGTAGCTGTCTATTTACCACCACAAACCAATGCTGGCACTAAGGCCGCAGTAAATTAGCTGTATAAAACCATAAGCAAACAGGAAACCGCTCATCTAGAGGAGGCACTCCTAGTGGCCGGGGACTTTAATGCAGGGGAAGGTAAATCCATTTTACCCAACTTCTACCAACATGTTAAATGTGCAACCAGAGTGAAAAAAACTCTAGACCACCTTTACTCCACACAAAGAGACACGTACAAAGCTCTCCCATGCCAACCCTTGTTGGCAATCACAGAGGTCAGACGTTTCTTGTAGTTGGCCACCAGGTTTGCACACATCTCAGGAGGGATTTTGTCCAACTCCTCTTTGCAGATCTTCTCCAAGTCATTAAGGGTTGGTAGTCATTTATGCAGGTTATCTTAATGTTCTTGGGCACAGGGACTATGGTGGTCTGCTTGAAATATGTTGGTATTACAGACTCAGTCAGGGACATGTGGAAAATGTCAGTAAAGACACTTGCCAGTTGGTCAGCGCATGCTCGGAGTACATGTCCTGGTAATCCGTCTGGCCCTGCGGCCTTGTGAATGTTGACCTGCTTAAAAGTCTTACTCAAATCGGCTACAGAGAGCTTGATCACATAGTCATCCGGAACAGCTGATGCTCTCATGCATGCGTCAGTGTTGCTTGCCTCGAAGTGAGCATAGAAGTGATTTAGCTCATCTGGTAGGCTTGTGTCACTGGGCAGTTCGCGGCTGTTCTTCCCTTTGTAGTCTGTAATAGTTTTCAAGCCCTGCCACATCCGACGAGCGTCAGAGCCGGTATAGTATGATTCAATCTTAGTCCTGTATTGACTCTTTGCCTGTTTGATGGCTCGTTGGAGGGCATAGCGGGATTTCTTATAAGCGTCCGGGTTAGAGTCCCACTCCTTGAAGGCGGCAGCTCTACCCTTTAGCTCAGTGTGGATGTTGCCTGTAATCCATGGCTTCTGGTTGGGGTATGTACGTACGGTCACTGTGGGGACGACGTCATCGATGCACTTACTGATGAAGCCAGTGACTGATGTGGTGTACTCCTCTATGCTATCGGAAGAATCCCGGAACATATTCCCGTCTGTGCTAGCAAAACAGTCCTGTAGCTTAGCATCACAGCCGTGCTTCCTGCTCGCTGTGCTGAAGCACCAATTTGAACTGCTCTCGGACTCACATATTGCTGTTCACTGGACCTTATGATCACTCAGCTGCACAGCTGATGCCTGCTGGACTGTTCCATTACACGGTACCCTGTCCTGTTTATCTGTTTAGCCTCAGCCCAAACTTTATCGCCATTACCAGTTGTTGTCTTAGCTCTCTCTAATAACACCTGTGATTGCTTTATGCCTCTCTCCCATGTCAATATGCCTTGCCTATTGCTGTTCCAGTTAGTTCTTATTATACAATTTCACTGTAGAACCCCAAGTCCCTCTCAAACTGCCTCAAATAGTTCCTTTGTTCCACCCCCCATACACGCCGAGACCGGCTCAATCGGTGCCTCCAGTGATGCTATCTCTTTCATTGTTACCCAACGCTTAGGTTTACCTCCACTGTACACTGTCTGTACATAATGCCCTGAATCTTTTCTACAACGCCCGGAAATCTGCCCCCTTTATTCTCTGTACCCAACGCACAAGAAGACCAGTTCTTAGCCGTATCCTTATTCAACTCCTCCTCTGTTCCTCCGGTGATGTAGAGGCTAACCCAGGCCCTGCAGCCCTCAGTATCACTCCTACTCCCCAGGCGCTATCATTTGTTGACTTCTGTAACCGTAAAAACCTTGGTTTTCTGCATGTTAACATCAGAAGCCTCCTTCCTAAGTTTGAATTATTCACTGCGTTAGCACACTCTGCCAACCCTGATGTTCTAGCAGTGTCTGAATCCTGGCTTAGGAAAGCCACCAAAAATTCTGAAATGTCCATCCCCAACTACAACATTTTCTGTCTAGATAGAACTGCCAAAGGGGGTGGAGTTGCAATCTACTGTAGAGAGAGCCTGCAGAGCTCTATCATACTATCCAGGTCTGTGCCCAAACAGTTTGAGCTTCTACTTCTAAAA